TTAATATTATCATTCTATCTACGTCTGAGCGCTCCTAGTGGTCTCTCTCCTTCAAGTTTACCAATCAGAACTTATTCAAACTTCTCTTCTTTCTCATGCATGCTACATATCTTACCCGTCTCATTGTGTTTGGTTTGGGTATTCTAATTATTGTCATGTGACTGAGTGACTATAGACGGGGTTTGTATTTGTAACTGGTTTTATTGAACTCTTACAGAACGTAACTACAAATAACTATAGTACTAATGCTAATTCACGCATTCCACATTTAACTATAGCACGTAAACATCTCCTCAGTCTGTTGTATTTTCACCGATTGTTGCCTGGTGACGGCTATCAACGCCGTAGTTTCCTCAGCTTCCATGTTCACATCCTTACTGACGGGCGACTGTCTCAGAACTCACTCCTACTCTGCTCACTGACGTCCCAAGGTTCTCTCGTAATCGCAGCTGCTCCTCGTTATGGACGGATCGCACAGAAAACACCCCTCCCAACAGTTCTTCTATTGTTGCTCTTGGACAGCGTAGTGAACATCTCTTCCAAACTACGCCATTGTTGCGTGTTATGAATGTGTTGCGTAGCAACAGGGGTTTTTGAGGAGATGTTCCCTAGCAATGGCTGGCTTCACAGCTCTTGCCTTGAGAAAATATGCAGCATTATATATGGGAGGGCAAGAGGAAATCCAACAATTTGGGAACAATATCCACAAGCGGGAATTTTCTCTTTATTCTATCTCAAAGGCTATTACATTCAAGAGACAGCGGGCGACATTTTGTGGTTTGTTTAACGACGATCTCAGCAGCTAAACTGTATACTGTCGAACTGTAGGATGACAGAGAAACTGAAAAGTGTTTGGAAGAGAACAGTAGTGACCTTAAGCAGCTATAATTATTACATTTGCCTGGAAGCTTTGATGAAAATCGTGGGAAATTTAAGAATGTTCGGTATCCCGGCCGAAATTCGAACCGAGCACCTGCAGAATATATGCCTAAGCCGCCTTTTACCCCTCAGGAAGATTCCTGGTACTCATTTCTGTCAGAGGCTGAGTCGACCCCAGGGCAATAGTGCGGATGGAAGGATTAGGTAAACTGAAATATCCAATGACCCCATCGGGAAAAGGACCCGCGACCTTCCGGCTTGTAGCATAGTGACTCAACTGTGTAATATAAAGATGATAAATTATTTGGTTGATTCCAACGAAACGTACATTCCTATAAGTGAGTTTATTTTCTTTCAGTGCATGCGATTGGACACCTGTAATCAGTATAGTGCTAACCAGCTATTGTTCGGAGACATCAACGCCAGAGCAAGACATGAACTTCAGTTTTTTATTGAAGAAATCCGAAGGATTTGGCGAATACCATTCGACTTCCAGATACAGGAGAAACATAATATTTCGAATGGAAATATTCCGACAAAGTGACTTAGGATATGAAATTCTTGTGTAAACGCTTCCATTACTTTCTAAATAATAGTGCGGCATGTAGTCCGGTCTAGAAAACCGAGATTAACGGCCGTGGGGATCCGTTGCGCTGACCACGCGACATCCTCTATCCGCTAAAGATGGCACTAACTTCACCGACAAGCGGCGGCCGCTCGGTCGGTATAGTTCGGTTGCGGACTCAAGCCACAGAGTTTAGTTTTTTAGTGTGACATGTAGAACCACTGCTGGGTAACGACCGCGAGATAAGAAGAAATACAACAGCCGCTACTACGTAACGGTTTAGTAAACAATCATGTTTTCACAGCAAAAATTGGAAACATCAACATAGGAAGCTTCGTGTGCCTCGGTGCCGAGATGTTATAAATAGGACTGTTGGATCAATGAGAAGGTGGCCAACCGGTAAGAGTGTGAGCATGGAAACAGATGATATTGTTAAGAACCAACACCAGGAAACGACTGACGAAGGAAAATCAGTGAAATCCAGAGTGTGTGAATTAGCGGTCGCGCTATAGTTGCTTGTCGTTATGATCTGTAAGTGTTCAACAAACCTATCAATCAAAAACCTGTCGACAGTCACTCATACAGGTGAAAATACTTTCTTTAATGTTACCTCGTTGAATTTTTTTCTCCATAGTCTAAACACACTAAGAGGTATGACACTTATTTACGTGGTCAGAAGTGTCGAATTTAATTGGATGATAAGTTCATGCCTTACACAGGTACTTAAGGACACACCGCCTAAGAGAAAAACATATATTCATACAATTTTCTAATTCTTTCAGCATTATGTTGATGATGCATAAAACCTGATGGTCAACCCAAAAGTTTGTTGTCAGTAACAGATATTCTCCTTGTGAAGACGGACGCAATTCTGAACAAATCTAGCGAACTATGAAACATTTCAGTTTCCACACACGAAACCTTTAATATAATACAATACTAAATTCTACACATTCGAACAACCATACAATAAATAAGAAAACAACTTCATGGAGGTGAGCCCTTCTTGAGAACCTCAAAAGGGCTATGATCAGGTACTAAAGGCTTAACTGTATGCATTTATATCTGCCCAACATCACTGACCCTATGTACATTCAATAACTGAGAGAAGTAGTTTCTCCACCTATTCAAAATGTTGTGGGAATCTGCAAGCAGATCACCATTCTCACCCTTCACTAAGTTACTTCTAGGTTGGTAACCCCTCTTAGAACAATTTATTCCTCTATACAGGTCTCTCGCCGGTCACGGTAGCCGAGCGGTCTAAGGCATGTACTGTCTTCTCTCGCTTGGAAACCGGGATCGTGGGTTAGAATCCCACTCAGGGCATGGATGTTTAGTTTGTGTGTGTGCGTTTTCCTGTGTTTGTGCACAGGTAGAGGCCTTGCGACGAGCTGATCACCCGTTCAAGGAGTCCTACCGATTGTGTAAGATCTAGAAAAGCCGAAGTGAACGGAGAAGTTCATGGAGGCAGGCCTAGGCCCACTGGGGCTGTAGTGCCAAGGAAAAAAATACAGGTCTCTTATGTTCTTGTTCTTACTGTTCGTTGCAAGCTCACCAATTTTGTATTTCAGGTATTCCCTTTTTTTGTTCCTGAAATGCCTGCTGGTTTCACGTCTAATATTGTTCAGATTATCCCCCATTTAACTAGCTTGGATCCTGTAACCATTGCAATTTGGTCTGCTTTCTTTGATCTAATAATTTTGAGCATCCTTCATCGAAACATGGCTCATGCTTCTGCAGACCATAATAACCTAGACTCTCTTAGGCATAAATTTTGATAGTCTCTCTAGCAGCTTCCAAGGCTCTATTGATATCCACCTCAGGGTTCAAGTTTTCCCAAGCTGCGACCCTATTTGAGATTTCAACACGATACTGCCCTTTACCCCCTACCTCATTTAATCTCTTGAGATTGAACTTCTCCATATGAACTCTGTGTACTCTTTGTTTACTGACTGCCAGTCTTTCCTTAACTTTAGATACCAACAGATAGTTGTCATTATCACAATCTACTGCCCTGACCTATCGGATATGAAGTATACTTGAATGCCGTCTCCTATCTATCAAAATATGGCAAATTTGGTTGTGCGGCTTTCCATTAGGCGTTTGAAGGTCGCAGTATATTTCAATGTAAAGACAAACCGCCCCGTTACACCACAAGTCTACTGCAGCACGCACTCGGTGGAATGTCCAAGTGATGAGTACCCCTGTTGCTACAGTTGGAACAGACAAATGGAGTCAAAATTCAAAATTTTCGCGGGAGAGAAATATACAACTGACAGATAGCATTTGGATGCCTTCTTCAGAGATATCCACTGGTAAAACAGGTGTTACAAGATCTTAAACTTCTCCTGGTGTCACTCACTGAAGTGGCGTTGCACTGAAGAACTTCATTTTAGAGAAGCGACTCGGATCGAGGGCGTCAATGTAAAAGTACAGATTTCGTTACTCGGTGGTTCGATATGGTCTTGGAGCAGACAAACGTGAACACAACCGATAAACCTTTTGAAATAAGTTGTATTTCCAGCTGCTGCTCTTAATCATATACACACGAAGCGGTGATATATCTCTAGAACATATTTCCAACACGTTCAAATAAGAACATTCAAGGCAGGCGTCTTACATAATTGTTTGTGCTAAAATATTAATTTTCGAGCCAAGCTCTTTCAAACTAAGTTACACGAAATCTGTCCATAGCTGCGAACGGATATGAGGATCGATACTCGATTTCTGACCATCAACAGAAGAGCCCAGCTCTGCGACTTCCATGAACTAGCGGTCAGTATACACCAAGTTCATGTTATCCGGTCAAAAGAACGCGTAAGGTTTGTTCCCCACCCCACAACATATATACTTACTGTTAGTATGGCTTATGTATTTAGGAAGTTGAGTATTATCTTAAACGAAACTTAAAGGTGTCTTTATGTACATGACACATTTCATGAAATTTTGGCCCAGGGATCCTCAGTTACAGGACCGTGTGGTTTTTCTTTTATGTGAAGGGCTTTAGAGGGCCAACATTTATTGTTTATAGGTTATTAAGACAGTTTAGAGTATCCACATGCTGTGCAACTGACTAAACTCTAGTTTGTGCAATCGTCAACAGACACCACTGTGAAATACCTGGGCTAAACCCCTCCAGTGTGGGACTCCTGGGTAGTTTGGTTATTTTGACATGGTTAGAATGCTAAAATATAATATTTCTAGAATATTTCGATGATTCATTATGTCTAGATGTTGCGTGATTGCCCAAAAAGTGTCCATTCCAGAACAGACACACTGAAGGCACGTGACTGAAATTCTTCAAACGTTAGATATGTTCCTCGTCTGATTACTTGAAGAATGTTAGGATTAACATAAAATGCATGTACAGCATATTCTAGAGTCTTATTGGTCGTTATCCCTGCTGTTTCATTGCCAAATATGAGGGCGTGCACTGAAAGAGAGGCACACGCTGAAGTCTGAGGATTTCTGGGCGCTTAGACAAAACCGTTAAGGGATCACTAAAACAGTGCAAGAGTCAGGATGTGCTCTAAGATATATATGTGTTCAATCTTACGTAGACTTCTTCCCACTGGCTGACGTAACGGACGAGTCGGGAGAGTCGCAGAAGTCGGACGAGGCTGAGAAGTTTGGCAAGGCGCAGGATCCGAAGCGCTCTGCCGGCGTGCAGTATCTGGAAGCTCTCGCTGAAGTCCTGCAACTCAAGTGCGCAGTGATGCAGAGGTTAAGCGACTAAACACGGCTGATAATGTCCATTTTGGGAGTATGGAAGCATGGGACCATGTTTTGATTTCAGAAATAATTATATTTTTATCTGGCCTGAGGTCCACCTCTAAGCGTGCCGTCCACACGGAGGATGAAGTCTGCAAATTGTGTTTAAGAAGAATCTTAGGCGCTAGAGCGTATATCTAGGCGTCGGCTATCCTAAAACACGTAAAACAACGGGTTAATAACATCAACATAGGCTCTATCATGACTTACTCAAAACCGTGCTTGGAGAAACTCAAAGAAAACAAAGGAACATAACAACTGAGAAAAGATGTCACATTTCGGAGAATTAATGAAGGGAGAGGGGGAAGGTAGGGTGGGAAAATGAGGGGTATTGTCTGGCTATAACATCTCTGAGGGTAGTAGTGATTCGAATAGGCAAACTTACGAAAGAAACGTCCTGTGTGTTCAACAAGATTTTCGTTATGGCGATTTGGTTCCAATTGAAAACAGGATCTTGTATCTTCCTAATGGATGACGAAGCGATCAGCGTCAACAGCTCATGATGACGCAACCTCAGAGACGTTTCGGACACAGTATAGTGGAGATAATAACACCGTGACATCATTACTCCCCTGAAAGATGCATCATTGTAATTGGAGGCTGTTTTCATGCGTTCAAGTGCATACCAAGTGGAAATGCTTCTCGAAACGTCAGAAAACTTCCCACAACACGGAATAAGAAGTAAATATAAAAAAATATAAGGAAAACTTATAAATAATATAACTAAAACAAAGTAAATAAATAGGTTATATCACTATGATGCTAATAAGAGATCAGAAAAAGCTAAGCAACTACTATGAGTTGAAAACATGCAAAAATGGAAAATGATGTTATCATACATTCTGAATATGAAAAATGTGGCATTCGTGTGAGCAAAAATATATGGAATAATAAAAACTTAGTTTATGAACGTGCTATATTAAGGAGTAAGATATAATGGCATTATAAATGCGGGTGATTGTGTAGTGCAGAGAGTCAGAGATATACACCTAGAGATATGCTCTTTGAAAGAAAGTTTGCCTATCGATATTTTAGAGTATTTCGTGCAGCAATAGTTCCCAGCTGTATAGAAATATTACATGGCCATGCTCCATCCAAAAGTGAACAGTATCACCCTTTAAGCAGACTGTCGATATAATTCTCCTCAAGTTACGTTACCTAACAAAAACTGCTAAATATCATAGTATTTAATTACTTGAACATTACTAATCAGTTTACAAACAAATTATTTGCACGTATTGTGTGTCTAAAACATTTTTGTTGGTACATCAGACATTGAGTAACCAACTTTACGGAAGAAAAATCTTCAATTTTCAACAAAATATTCGGGCATGAAGATTTTGCTTCATATTTTACCTTAAAACATATTTTACTAACTTCGCATTGTTGACGTAAATATTTACGACACCATCTGATGATGGATGTTTCAGACACAGCTCTGCATATAGAATTTTGTGATTCAAATCCAGTCAGTAGTGCCACACGTATAAAATAAAATGCACTTGAGAAGAATTAACGGTCGACAACCACCTTGATTCATGCTGATGTGATATAAATCAGTGTGTGTTCTGAGTAATTATCAATTGATGCTTAAGACTGTGGTCTCTGGGTAACCAATATAGTCCTTCAATTCGCTACCGGAGAGGAGAGTATTCTTACGAGAGCAACATTGTGGAAATTCGGTACTCGTTTGGTAGACATGTCTATGACACTGCAGGCTTTTTCGGCTTGTACTTTTAATAGAATTCTTGGAAATATTTAAATAATTGTGTCGAACTTCATGTTCAGTAATATTCATATACTGGTTACATTTACCAGTAGAACACTGATTTGTTTGTGGCAGTTAAAATTATTGGGTATGGATATTACCCAGTGATCGTGGTTAGTTCTTTCTAAAGGAGCCAACAGAGTAGGTGTCTTCTCCCTCACCTGAGGACGGAAACAGATTCAGTCTACGAAACGTCGTGTTTTCTAATCTTTAGATTAGCGAACGATGGAAAATGTCCAAAAATCAGTAATTCCTAATATTATTTATTCACTGATAGTATATTTAATGACGCTGCTAGTTGCTCATACTGTACGGCGTAGAATATTAAGATAATACTGTATAATGAACTGGAAGAAATCAGGAAGGAGGTGGTAGTGGCATATTTTGACATACTACATCCGGAACTTCGCCAGAAAGTCTGAGAAATACCATGGGACCCCCCCCCATAGGATACCTGTTACCACGTTCAAAACTCAAACAAAATATTTTCCGAACAAGAAGCAGGAGCTTCAAGCATTTCACAGCGACATCCTATCGCTGAGAACACAAACAGCCAAGCATTGCACAAAATAAATATTTTATTTTGTGCAATTTCAGTTTAGGCAGGAGTCACAAGCCTTCATGTGCGTTTGCATGCCCCAGGAGCGCCGATTAAAACAGCCCTGTCCGTCCGTCTGTAAACGTGAAACTACTAGATAACGGTTGAACCACTTAAAGGGGATGAAAATGGCAGAGGATGTCGCAGGAATGGGACAGAAAGGCATACAAGTTTAGGTGGCAGTTATGAGAGATTATAAAGAAGAACTAGATCTAAAGATTTTCCTGTAATAGGCCATTGAGACCCATAGGGTTGTGAGATGTCGAGGCTCCCACATTTTCTAGACAGTCGGCTCACAGATGGCGGTGAGGTTGTCAGCCTTACGGGTTATATTGCGGCTGGAAAGATTAGGTCAATTGAAAAATACAATTACCTCATCGGGAAGTCACATGCCTTACTTTTAATCCTGGTTTCTGTGTTGAACTTGAGGAAACTGTGGAGAAATCTGGTAAGTGGTTCCAGATCATTGTGGGAGGGAGGGTGACGCACTAACCCAAAGCCTTCATACAACCCATACACGCCTTACAACCCTTATCTCTGTTGAGTGGACTCCAGGAAGAACTTTATTTGTATATTTTCATCAGCACACCATATCGTCGAGACCGTCTTTGGGTCCCACCCAGACTCCTATCCAAAGAGTACCGGGGTCTCTTTCCCCAGAGGTAAAGCGATCGGAGCGTGAAGCTAATCACTCACCTCCAACTACTGTCGATGTCAAGAACGCGTGGATCTATACATCCACTCCCCCATACACTTTCATGGAGTATTGCTTAAAAGTTAAGCACATGGAAAATTTTACCTTTGCTGTTCATATTATTAAATTTTCCATTTATTTGTTCGAAGTTCTTTTTTTGTCGTTTAGGGCTATATTCTACTTTATTAATCCGGATTAACGATGGTTTACTCTGCGTTCTTCAGAGAAGTTTTGTTATGTCGGCAAAGCGTCTTACAGTGGACACTACGTCATGTGTTTCCTCAGTCATTACTGTCGGATTACACTTCGTAAAGTTACGTAAACAGGAAAGTGCAAGAAGAAAGGCAATAAAACTTATGCGCATGCGTATGTAAAATATTAGTTAAAAATCTACATTATATACCAACTATACAAATGTTCGTTATTAACTGCCACTAACAAACTGATAAAAATCGAAATATGTATTTATGAAAATAATAGAGAAAAAACACTGAATGAATCCGGTCTGCCAGCAGTGCAATGGAAATATATACATAATGTTTATTGTGATTATATATATGTATACTATAAGAGCAGCGTAAAGTTTATGTACAAAAGTGCACGTATGTACAGTTGTCCACAAAAGTGTTCGCATCAAGACAGCCTCTGTATAAGAGCTATTTCCGTAACAGAGACATCTATATGTATTCTTTTCATAACAATCTGTTGCCATGATAACACGTAGAAAAATTCACTTCAGATCTAATCGGAGTAATTATGTGATCTGGTTCTATCGATTAATACCGCCATTTATTAGATTGCATAACAACTAACTAATCAAATGACTGATTAACATACTATCTCCATGGATTTCACTCCTATAACAGAGACTAGCAGTTGCTCATCCACTTAAGAAATTACCAGGAGTATAAGGAACCCGAAGGCTCATTACTGTATCCATATCATCTATTTCTAGGTCTTCAAAATGTTTTCTTTCGCACAGATTTTCCTTCCAGAAATGTGTATGCATTTCTGTTCTCACACATCCATTCTAAATGCCCAGTCAATCTCATCGTCTTTGACATGATCGGTCTCACAATATTGTGACACGCCCTAAATCCTGAATAGTGAAATCAGAGGATATGTTCATTGCTAGGCAACGACTCGGTAAACATATTCCCGCAGCAACGAATACGCAAGCAACAATCGAGTAACACAGAAACGTCTTTAGTCTATTAAACAATGCTATATCAGTTGAAGAATGTATTGTCACGCGTTAGAGAGAAATAGAGGAAATTTTGGATTGTATTCTTTGACCACTTATATACACAACTCGGAACTACAAATAATTACAGCGCCCTTGCTAATTTCCACACTTTACAAATCACCACATCACACGCTAAGTCTTTTTCCAGCCCACTGTGTCTTCACTAGCCCCTTCCTGGTAACGGCTTCTAACAGTGGAGATTCTTCAGCTTCCTAGCTCAAGTCCTCTTTTCACATCCTCCCGTACAGAACTGACTTGGTTGCCCCTGTTTTCTTCCTTATAACTCCTCGGCACGGACCGAGCAGACAACACAGTTAATTCTCGTATGCCAACCATTTCCGCCGGAATGTGTTCGCTTCACCCAACAATGGGTTGCGTAACCCCGTTTATTAAGAATCTGCTGTCCAAACTTCTCAGTTTAAGAAGGATGGAGCTATACCTCCACTACCCGATATGTCTTCCTGACATGGTGATTATATATTTAAGTCCAGGGATAGCTTCGACTTTTAATGTGAAGGATACATCGGAAAGTTTCACGTCCAGGATATGCACGTCTATGGAAACACAGAGAGGCCCATAAAAATATATCTAGGCCACTGTTGCGGGCACAACAGCTCCCCCCCCCCAGATCTCGAGAAGTGTCTGCAAGGTAACTTTGGGCACTTTGTATGCTTGTTCTGTTTCAACACGTGCCGCACTCACCCCCTTCTGTGTGGACTGGGTGTGGATCACCAACAACTTATTTTAGCAGATATTTTGTACGTCGAAGTGTGTATATTCTTTTCGGGATATTCTTTATTCGCAGCAAAGAACTGTGGGTATTGCAACACTTTTGCGGACATCTGTGTGCAAGATGGAAGCGACCGCATGCTCCATTACCAGAATATTGACAGATGCAAGTAGCATTGCCCCACTCCCGCACCTCCGAACCCCCAAAATCCCTTACCTGGTTGAAAATAAGGAAGATGTAGTCTAGAGGAATGGAGCTGATAAGGTCCAGGAAGAACCACGTTTTCAGGTAATGTTTCGCGATGAGTTTCGGGTCCAGGATCACTTGCTCTGCGTTGTCTTGCTGCATGATACCTGTAAGTACAGACAAGACGACAATAACAAATTGGTAACAAAGTCATGATACATCTACAGCCATCAGAAAGCAGAAATTTGAAGAAAAATACTAGGCAATAAAAGGTAAAAATATCCCTGTAACAGGCCGTGGAGGCCCATGGGGTTTTGAGACGTTGAGGCTCCCACATTTTCTAGACAGTGGGCTCACAGACGACGGTGAGGTTGTCAGCCTTATGCACCGGCTGCCCTTTATCCCCAGGAAGTTTCCTGATACTCATTTCTGTTAGACGCTGAGTCAACACCAGGGCCATAGTGCGGCTGGAAGGATTAGGCCAAATGAGAAATCCAGTGTCTTCGTCTGGAATCAAACTACGCTATTGCGTGCCCCTCAATGATATATATAGGAAAATTACTGCGTCCATTACAGCTGTGTTACTTCCATTTGTATCCTATTTAATGACTGTCGCTCGTACAACGATCAAGTCAAGGATGAGATGGACAGGGCATGTAGCAAGAATGGGAGTAGAAGAAAAATGCATATAGGATATTGGTGGGAAAGCCAGAAGGAAGGAGACCACTGGGAAGACCAAGGCGTAGGTGGGTGGACAACATTAAAATGGATCTTAGAGAGATAGGATGGGATGGATTGGATTGATGTGGCTCAGGATAGGGACCAATAGAAAGCTCTTGTGAACAACGTAATGAACCTTCGGGTTCCAAAAAATGTTGTGAAGTTCTTGAGTAGCTGCGCAACTGGCAGAGGTAGAGAGGCGGAAAGCATGAGGCATGGTCATCCCCACCAAGTACAGCATTTCTTTCTGTGGCTTCAGTATAGGTGAGGGAGGGGTCTGTCCACGTGTACTGTGTGGTCTTTAAACGCAGGCGCAAGAAAGTTTATATATTTGCTTGAAGATATGGACTTCCTTTACGGAACGTTTGGGAACATTATGAAACATTTCGAAAGCAGGGGTAGGTAGGTAATACGTGAAAATCCCCTCTCTGTTGTTCCCAAGTCACAGAGCTTTCTGTTTTGGTGGGAAGCTTCGGATTAGGCAACAAGCTAAATGTCTCGTGACAGTGCCATTTGGGACAGCTGCTACACGAAACAGCACCCTTCAACGCAGCAGGGACGCAATATCGGCATCTGTGGCGTGAGGACCGAGCCCCTATAAGAGCACAGCATTTACCGCGCGAATTTCCTGCTTTAATATTGGAGGAACTCCGAATTTTCTCCACACAGTGCATTCACAGGTCTAAATAGAGATTTGTAGAGACGCATTCGGCGCATGCGTGGTTCGAATGCCGGAAGGGACAGCAGCGGAAATATCCCCCCAGTGTTCTGTCATTGTAGGCACATGTCAGTACCTCGATCAGAACACTACCGTCTCCTTACATATCCTCTCCAATTCACAGTTCATCAATTATCCCATCATTCGATGATATGAAACCCACATATTGAGAGTCATAAGCACCAATAGTAAACACCGATTACTGTGATAAACAGTATTTAACCGGTTTTATCTTTTTAATTGAGAAGCAAAGTGTTTCCTTTGCAGCAGGAAATCAATTTTTAGTTGCACCCGGTAGCGCAGTTGGTTGAGACATTGTGCTACAAGTCTAACGGTTGCGGGTTCGATTCCCAATGAAGTCACTGGATTTTTCAGTGACCTAATCCTTTTAGCCGCACTATGTCCATAGAGTCGACTCAACCTCTAACAGAAATGAGTACCAGGAATCTTCCTGGGGGTAAAGCGCGACCGGTGCGTAAGTTTGACAACCTCATCGCCATCTGTGAGCCGATTGTCTAGAAAATGTGGGAGTCTCGACGTCTCACAACGCTATGGGTCCCCACAGTCTGTTAAAGAGATAGCTATTTACCTTTTTACCCAATTTTTAAAATTTTTGTACAGAATTCCTAATTATTTAAATATACAAGACCACCGTACAGATGCATCAATAAGAGAAGACGTAAGGTCAGGAGCCCTGCAAGCGAGAAATAAGATTAAAAGGAGCAGTTCTGAATTGCCCCTATGAAGGATGGAGAAACTTTAGCAGACCAAGGAAAAGATGATCTTCGTAGCAGTATCGACTTGGAACACGCCAGTTGCCTATCCCCTGAGGAGGAGGATGATGTTCTTTAAACTTCGGACTGCCGGCTAGAAGTCAGTACGCATGCGCAGGTTCCTGCGCTCGACCATCTCGACACAAGTTTTCATGGTTTTTCTCGTGTTCAAGGAAACGCTGAGATGGTTCCCAAGTTCCAAATTGCTACTGCGCGCTTTTCATGCAGCCCTCCCAATTTAAGTTCATCAGAATGTATCTCCCCCACAACCTTCACTCGCAATTAGTCAGAAAATAGAAATTCCGTGGAAACACTCTACAGTGATTCACAAAGCTATCCACCTAATTTGAATTAAGTTTTTTTTTATGAACGCCTAGACTAGTGAGTGCTGCTCAGGTTCCTGATAACTTTACATGCACGAAACTTATATATGACGCGGTCTTCCCGTTATGCTGCTCCATTTCGCCCTCTGTACACAGGCTTACCAGAAATGAAAACAGGAGAAGGAATAAAGAACGACGCAAAGAATAGAAGAAGAGGAAGAAAAAGGAACACGTTCATATTTTTCTCAAATAAACTGTAAATTCAGTTGCCGCTTATGAAGTTGGACAGGCGGAAGGAAAGATGGTGGACAGTGCGAAGTTCAGTGAAACTAATATGGCCTCCCGTTGGATCAGATCAGTGGTCTCAATCCCGTGACTAGGACCCGCAATGCATAAGAAATCAATCACATACAGGTTGTCTTATTTCACCTGGCCTCTGAGTTGCGCGTGATGAGTATTGCAAACAATACAGGGGCAGCTGTTCCAGCTGCATTGTGGGCGGGAAGCAAAGTGACATGCTGTAACAAGGCTCTGTTATAGCACATAAACACACTACAATCCGTTAATGGACATGACGAAACCCATTTGGCAGTATGATGAGATAGACCATGTATAAAAACACAGGCATTAGCCCTATCTATCTACAGACAGGTTATTGTGACCTGGCCACTGGGATGCGCAAAACAAGTGAGGAGCGTGACAAGAGGGAGAGCGGTTGCAGGTGCATTGTGGGAGGGACGGAGAGTGGCACATTGTAACTAAGGTCCTGCTATAACGCATGCGCACCTTGCAAACCTTATCTGAATTAGTGATCTCGACCAAATCCACTGCGCATTCTGTTGAGAGCGGCCAGGTGTAGGAAGACGGACTGTATTTGTTGAGAAGAGGAAGAGAGAGGAGGGACTTTATGAAGATGACCCGCGGTTCTGTGTGGGATGAAATCAATATCGCGTGCCTCATTCGTCGTATCATGATGATCATATCCCGGAATTACAAATAAACAACTTTTGGATAACAAAATTCAATATCCCGCCGCAGGACAAGCACCATTTGCACAGATTATGGGACAAAGAGAGGAATTTCTGGGAAAACACCATGAAGCCTGTTTTTCTTTCAAGCGCTTCAGAATGTGCCCAAGTTAACAAATAATACAAATTAACAATACCGAAATATAACCGCCCATTTCTGAGTTTAGTATAGGCTAGTATACGAATTCCGATTAACGATAAATTTGTAAGGCAGAACGTCAAAATTTTTTAAACCTCGCCAAGTTAAATGTCTTAAATATTATTTCTACACGTATTTTCCTCTGCGCATAAATTCGGACATGCCTGATTCACCATGAATAATAACATTAACGCTTGGAGTACAAGAACACAGCTATGAAGTTGTAGACATGTATCCGGGAGGTGCTCTCTTCGAATCTCACCCGGGACAGCGGATAACCTGAGATTCTTTTATGATTTGATTCAGTAACTGCGAACATTGACGAGATATTTCATGTTAGGCCACGACCACATCCTTTCATATTATTTTTTAATCAAATTTCTTTTCGCGCTATAAAATATAGCAACATAAAATGTCTCCAAATAACTAATAAAACATTAATAGCTACGTAAGTTCCAGGGTAGCTCAGTAAGTATAGAGATGGATACCGGTCTGGACAGCCGAGGAATCGGTGTTCGATTCCCGGCTGAAGCAATTTTTGTTTCTCTTGTCCCCAGCACTCCGACTGAATCTGAGGCCAACTCGACCTGTTATCCAATGGGTACTGAGGGCTTCTGATCCGGGGTTAAAAGGGCCGGAGAGTGAAACATATGTCTCACTATACCCACACTCTCCGATCCGTCTTCATGGCGTGGTGCTTAATTAATTTAATACTGGGGGAAAACTTTATTTTACATACAAAACTGAAATCTAAAACTCCGTTTTCTTCTCTAGGTATCATCATGTTCTGCTAAGAAGATTTTCTTAATGTAACAATCTAGACTGGACAAATACAAAACAAACTCCGTGGCCTGTAGTCAGCAATAGAACTACACCGACAACAATTATACAGATCGAACTACCGCCGCTTGTCGACGAAATTAGTGCCAAATTTTGGGAATAGAGGGCGTCACGTGGTCAGTGCAACGGATCCCCACGGCCGTTAATATCGATTTTCTAGACCAGAGCCGCTATTTCCTTGAAATAGTTTATCAAATATCTCCGCGGTGCTGAGTGTACCCCGTTCCAGACCCACTACTTCTCAGAAAATCTGGTGGTGCCGGGAATCGAAACTGAACCTATGGATCTGTAGCCAGGAACTCTGACCACTAGACCACAGAGGCGGTCTCCGACTAGACAAATACCCGTTGAAAATTCAACAGGAAAATTCCACAGTTCCCATTTCTACCTATATTTTCCACACGTAACTCCTTGTATTGATCCATTCTTACACATTATAGCTCTCGAGGGATGTTCTGAAACCGAGCAGACTAGCGAAGCGGTAATGTTCTAGATTTATGTTCGGGTGGAGCATCGGTTACCCTGACCAAGTAAGGTTTCTGGTGGTTTTACTCAGTCCTTCTAGGCAAATTCAGGGATAATAGATTAATTGAACAACGATAGCTTCCATCTAAATCCTTTTTCAA